ATCGAGGAAGGGAACGGTGCGTGGGGCTTTCCAGTCGTGCTGGTTAGAAAGAAGGACGGTACGGTGAGATTTTGTATCGAATACAGGCTCCTCAATGCAATTGCGAAGCGTGACGTCTACCCCTTACCTCGCATCGATGATACTCTGGACAACTTGCACGGTGCCAGACGTTTCACCAGCCTGGATCTGCATGCCGGGTACTGGCAGGTGCCGGTAGCAGAGAAGGACCGAGACAAGACTGGCTTCATCACGAGGAAAGGACTCTTCAGATTTGTGCGAATGCCATTCGGCTTGGCGAATGCGCCGGGGACATTTCAGAGGATGGAGGCGAGGCGGGTGAACGCCTGACCGCCCAGGTGTATAGCTTTAGCGCGTCCCGGGTGTAGACTCCCGAATGGGGTGCACCCAGAACAAACCCTAGCCGGAGATAGTACACTTAGATGTACGCTCCAACCGGGGTGGCGTGTGTCCTTGTGAACCATCCCTGTGGGTTCGTTTGTCTTCGTAACCAGGGGCCTTCGACCGTGGATGAGTTGTCTTGATACTTGTAGGTCGCTAGGTAGCAGGGCAGAACGTAACCTTCCTGGACGTCGCCTCTGACAGTCTTTAGACAACCAAACAATACAAACAGATACAGAGTTATATACAAACACGTAGCCCTTCCTTCATCGAGGAAGGGAACGGTGCGTGGGGCTTTCCAGTCGTGCTGGTTAGAAAGAAGGACGGTACGGTGAGATTTTGTATCGAATACAGGCTCCTCAATGCAATTGCGAAGCGTGACGTCTACCCCTTACCTCGCATCGATGATACTCTGGACAACTTGCACGGTGCCAGACGTTTCACCAGCCTGGATCTGCATGCCGGGTACTGGCAGGTGCCGGTAGCAGAGAAGGACCGAGACAAGACTGGCTTCATCACGAGGAAAGGACTCTTCAGATTTGTGCGAATGCCATTCGGCTTGGCGAATGCGCCGGGGACATTTCAGAGGATGGAGGCGAGGCGGGTGAACGCCTGACCGCCCAGGTGTATAGCTCTAGCGCGTCCCGGGTGTAGACTCCCGAATGGGGGTGCACCCAGAACAAACCCTAGCCGGAGATAGTA